GTCAACCGCACTTGACATGTGTGCATTTCTGTAACAAATCAGGCCATGAAAACAAGATCAGCAGTATTTCACTACCGAGTCTAATAAGAACATACCGGGCGCTTAAAGAAGATTTAGGAAGGCATGATGGTGTTTCTAAATACGACGGTTTTTTAAAAGTGACAGCCAATTAACATTATTGAAAGAAAGAAAAAATCACGGGCATTTCAAACTTTTGAACATGCAAGATGTTGACATTAACCAATAGGTGGCATGCCATTCTTAATGGAAAGGGCAGCATATACAAAATGGACGGAGTCAACTTTCCGAGGGGGAAGGGGCCCGGTCAAGATGGTGACGACCGATGATGGTGTTCGCCCGATGGTAGTCCCCCGGGAAGTCGAATAAGAAAAAAAAAAAAACTAAAAGTTGTTCGATCCCGCTGGACACATTACGACGTTGGTAGGTTTACGGTGGCCAGTGTGGCCACGTTTATTTTCAAAACAAAACGACAAGTCAACGGTAATATACAAAACTTCCAAAATTAAAACCCAGTACTTTAGTCCCCAGTCTCAAGAGCCGAATTCCCCGAGAACCCTCTCGGCAGCCCTTTTCTAGCCTCGTAGATGCCTCCTTTCCCTCCAGAGATGGACCAATCACTTCAAATTTCACCACTCCCACGTGGTACACTGCCGTCCAATGGTCGGCGAGCTGTCATCCTGTCGCTGTAACCGTCAAACCTAAATTCCCTGTAGGGTTGTTCTCTGCAATTTTTCCAGTCTGACTGGCGCCAACCGCTAAGTTATTGCCTCGGGCAAAAAGCGACAATTTTACACTAAGCGGCGAAACTCTCTATATACAGGCACATTCGGCTAAAAGCCACAACCAGCTGCAAGAAGGGATCTGTCCGAGCGGACTACCGAAACCCGAAACGTTTCTTAACGACCGCGGTGAAGCCGCTCCCCACTCCCGGCCGCTCTGCCCCCGCAAATGCTCCCTCCAAAACGCCGACACTCACAAAGAAACCTAAAAAAAATAAAACGATGCCGACGCAACTGTAGAAAGATAGACTTTTCTAAAACAAACTTTACTTATTTCTAACAAAATCCTTCGTTACTTAACAGACGGGCTGTTGGCTGTTTGTACAGATGAAGAGCAGCGAGCAGGTCAATGGATGTTTGTGGTTGGTGGGCGCGAAACTTTAATAAATAAAGAGAATAATGATACCGCAATACGGAGCGTGCATTATCAACAGCGCCGTTAAAATGAAATATGTTGGATCAGCAACACTCCTTTCATGTGGCCAGAGAGTTGCTAATCAGCAATTGATGACAGTTCATTTTTAAAAATGTCGGCCCACTCATACTCTTCTCTCACAAATGCAAAGTTAAAGGCGAAAAAAAAAACTGACCAAAAGCGAAGAAGAATATTCGGAGTTGCAAAAAAGTCGATATCACGAACAGCACTCGTGTTGGGTCGGTGAACGACTGGTATATTTACTAGTAGTGCAAAACTATCGATAGTACTATCGATAGTATCGATAGTCACCAGAAATCTGACTATCGATAGTAAAAAAAACTGTCGATAGTACTCTCGGAGGTTTACTATTGATAGTTTTACGACACTAGTAGTTTGCGTCGCTCCCTCTCGTTTTTCTTGCTTTATTTCTTCAAATGGGAGACCCACAAGCCCAAGCACTTACATGTCTACTTTGGCTCAGCTTTCAGTGATGAGAAAGACGAGAGTTTGGGTGAAGAGAGGAGGAAGGAAGGCGAGCGGCGGTGCGGCAACCGTGTTCACTCTAGTGATGCAAAATTATCGATAGTACTATCAATAGCATCGATAGTCACCAGGAATCTGACACTTGATAACAAAAAAATTATCCATAGTACTATCCAGGGATGTGCAAAATACATGCAAATATGTATCGAAATACAAATACAAAATACTTCGTCAAAAATGTACTTAATTACAAATTTGGTTACATTTCTAAAAAAGCATTTAAGTACAAGATACAAAGACAACCAAAAGTGTTCGGTCTCCTCCAAATACTTTTCCAAATACATTCCCCAAAATTTGCGTCAGCGACTTCAGGTCACCTGCAACGGGTTTCTGGGTATCTCATTTTAATTTTGCATCGCACACTCGGGAGTTAGTGTGCGAGGCTCTAGTAGCGTAATAGAAATATAATCACAAAAAAAAATGTAATCAGCTTGGACGTAATAGGTGAAAAAAGTACAGAACTTCATGCAGCTTTTTTTGTCGATTACATTTTGGTGTAGACCGACAAAGAATCGAGACGACCAAGACGCGCAGCACTAGTCAGAGATTTTTTATTGTTTCAACTCGCACCAGTTACGAAAATCTGGACGACCCGCGCATTTAGAATGTTCCAGGCAAAAATATGGATGGAAATCAGGCTGGAAAACATTACAGTTGTCACAGGCACTTATTTAGCCAGTCTGCCTGTGAACGTCGATTTCGTCACTATTCTTGCCCTGGAGTAGCACCATAATCACAAAGTCACTACACGCTTGTGCTTGATTCAGAGACACTGCATTCGGTGCACAACGTAGTTTTCCTCCTGCTCTGGACAGTGTCTTTAAAATAAAGCCGGAGGAGAAAAAGAAAAAAGCCCCATGGCCAAATAAAGGATGGAGACTACATCTTACAACCACATGCACAAAAACAAGATGTATTTTCGCCCACAAAGTTGTATTTAATTATAATTGTATTTGAAATACCCACGTTTTAGTATTTAAATACACACGTCAGATACATTACCCAATTTGTAATTGAATACAAATGCAAAATACACAAAGTATTTGAAATACGTATTTCAAATACTTGTATTTGAACTACTGCACATCCCTGGTACTATCGATAGTTGACTATCGAAAAACTATCGATAATGCTATCGATAGTCGACTATCGATAGTTCTGCGACACTATCGATAGTCATCTTATCGATAGTTTTGCATCACTAATATCTACTACCCCAACATGGCGAAAACACGCCGCACGCTAGGCAGCCCCTGTAAAGTACAAAATGGATCCAAGCTCCCATAGTGTCTGTTGCAAAAATCCATAGTAAAAAATATTTGTAGAAACTTGCCTTAAGGAAAGTACGTGCATGGATTGCTACATATTAAGACACAAATTATTGTCATGAGACAAAACTTAATATTGCAGCGTTTACTTTTCTTTACACAGGATACATATACTGAAGATGGTACATGCCAGGATGGAAATTGCGTCCCTACATCTAGTTAAATGTCGGCAGTATGGTACAAAACATTTTCGCAGTGCATATAACGGTGAGTTACTTTCTCTATATACTATTGGTGCCTTTCCGTTTCTTGGTAATATTACTCATTGCTTGCTATTATTAGTCATTATGCATTTATTCGGTAGACGCAATGGTGTGGAGATTCTTGAGTTATAAAGCTCGTAAATATAAAAACAGGGAGCACTTCTTCTTTCTAGCTTTAAGGCTTAAAGTTAGTACCAAATACTATGTGGTGCATATATTGAGGAAGGTGACGACGAGGACGGGGCAGTGGCGGCACAACCATCTTCCGCCGGGATCCAAATGCTGACCCGGTCTCCATAAATCTATTATGTGTTTTATCATATTTTTCTCTCTTGTCTTTTCTGTTACAAAAACCATCATCGTAAAAATATTTATAATTTCAAATTGCCACCAAAAGGAACACACCGTTTCTTCTTTTTCCAGAAAGCGTCAACCATGGTACATTCCATTTCCGCTGCTCCTCAAACAACTTTTATACCCCGGCCTCGCCCGCTGAATTTACAAGAAAAGTTTCCCCGTGTGTTTAGCGTTATGTATTGATGGCAAAATTGTTTTGTTCGTTGAATGTGCCTATTGACTTGTACGGTATAAGTGCAATGTCATGTGAGTACAGGTGCTTGTGAGTTGTTTTGGGTTTTGTTCTACAATGATAGTAGTTCCTCACCAAAGGGTGTCGGGTTTCAGGACCTTGAAGAATGGCAACAAGAGCTTTCAGTCCTGGCGTTATCTTTTTTTTGTACCACCAAGAAAGAAAAATAAAAGCGTCATTATTATTATTATAAGAAATTCTGATGTGCCTTCATGTAAGCGGTCGTAACAAAACACTGTGTTTACAGTAAATATCAGGCGAACCTGAGCGCAATTTGATTTATTATCAAAATCTTAATCCACATAAATACACTCAGTGATGTTGGCAACGTAAGCACCCATCCTAATATATGCTGAAGGAAAATTACCAGTAATATTTTCGCGTTACATATAAGTAATCTGGATGATTATAATTCATTTTGAAGAACCAATATCGTTACGTCTTCGTGTGGCCTAATTTGTGTTTGGTAGGAGCCAGTGGCAAGCCGGTTTTATTTGGAGACTTTACAAGTACTTCCGTGGCATATGTCTATTGCCTCCCGTTAGGCTTGGGACTTCATAACAAAAACTTTAATAATGCAAACTGACCATAAACAGTACTGACATATCTTCTGCTCTATAAGGAACACATTTATTGTAAATCGTTAAGTTACGCTTTGTAGGCACACTTCGTGCTTATTTTGGAACTATGGCTGCGAAAATGCAATACATTCATTCTCAGTTTCTCTGTGCAGGTTACCACGACAGTAAGATTATTTGTGCATTGTCATTCGCAAACTTTGTTTCATAAATACCAAATATAGTTCTTGACTGCAATCTGTACCAAGAAGGGTAACTATACGAACCGTGCTCAATTATTCGAGCAAGTAAGTTATCAGCTAGCATCTTTGTTCGGTATTTAGATCACGACCTTATTAACAAATAAACCTAAAGTGACTATAAAAGAGTGTTCGCTACGTGTTTGGGGACGCGTACTTGATGACATTGGAGAAAATATTTAATGGCGAAACATGTGGACGCTTTGACTTTTTTCCGGAACGAAGAGATAAAAGCGCAACGCCGCTATCAGCGGATATGACGTTCGGCAGTACACCGACGTAGTTTCTAATAAACTTTTACGATGGTTTACCTAGACGATGGTGTCAGCCTAAATAGCCGTCTACCTAGGTGTTATCTTCTTGCCTCATCTTTCCAACAGCACTTGGAAACGGTGAGAAAGGAAATAATTTCTGACCATCCTTATCGGTCACAAAACAACCGGGCTCTAATCCCCAAAGTAGACGTCTTCGACGTAGGGTGACGAATGCGACAGAGGGGAAGTTCCGGTAAGTATTGACGGCAATAAGGGGAGAGAACCTTTATATTCACTGCACTGTCAGGCAGTTGGGAGTCTTAAGTCCGCCCACCGGGACACCAAGACCAGAACAGGATACAAACCACCAGTCAGCATGAGACTACACTTTAGTGCAGCCTTTCTGTGCAGCGTTGTCCTGACAGTACTCCAAGTAACCACAGGTATGTTTCTGAGGAACTTTTTTGCTATGGTCTAATCATTCGCAACTAAAAGATTACTAGTTCTTTCACAGACTCACGTATGGTTTCAATTAGGAATCAAACTATGTACGGCATGAGGCTTGGATTAATATTAAAAAAAAGGCCAATACTTCAACTCGGTCGAGTTGGTGGTTCGTGCTTACACTTCATAGCGCACAACAAACGACACACTTCAAAAATTTAACTCACACGAAGTTCATTCTCAAAAGTTCACTCACATTGCGCAGGGTGAGTGTTCTTTCTTTGTGTGAGTGAACTTTTAAAGTGTGTCTGTTCTTGTGCGCTGTGATGTGTAAGAATTAAGAAGTTCACCCAAACACGGCGTTAACAAACGAGAATTAAAATTTTGACGCACCAAAGTTCGTAGACGTTATATTCCGAAAAGATTCTTTTTGGGAGCCTTTTGCACATATTTTGTTTATTACTCTTAAAAATGCGCTGACATTACCTATGGGGAAAGCAAGTTTCCTTCAAAAAATAAAACCTGGAGTTTTCGCCTAACATTCCGAAACTAAGCACGTTTATTTAGTATCGACAAATAATTAGTACATGTATTCTCTTGGAAGGGATCATGTATGCTTGTTTTGAATTCGGTCTATACATTCTAAATGATATATAACGAAAAAAAATGGGTTAAAAGATTAAAACTCAATGTTTTCAAAATGTTTACTCTCAAGCGCACGGTAAGTGCCTTGAATTCACCTTTTTTAATCTCTCCGCACGTACCCACTAAGACATGAGGACGGCTTCGCAGAAACTCTCCATTCGTGAAGCCACCGAGAAGTGCACTCCAAAAAGCAGAGAGAACAAATGAGTAAAATTTCCTGTTGCTTGTGGTGTACTGTCTTTCCCGTCACACAAGTGGTTGCGGGGAGATCTCTGTAGCTCAGGCTTTTTAAGTTTGATGTTTATTCACTGAGCTGGCAGAATGTCAGATCTCAGCATCCAAAATATTCTGAAAATTAATCGATTCTTAATTATGCCACAAGTTCAAGAAACGTTGCACCACAACTGTGATTCAGGCTCACGCTTGAAAATTATAAGGGAACATTAAGACAAGCGTCGTTCATAACCGAGATACAAAATAGTCACTTAAAGACTAACCTACTATTTCACATGTCTTAAGTCAGAATATTGTACGTTTCGCAGCGATCTTAATCATCATGCTGCGATATCCACAACATAATATAAGCCGGTGTGCGAGATCCCAATTTGATCAACATAGTTGAAACTGCTTTTCGCAATCCACCCAATTCATCTTGGAAATCACTGATTCATTTAGAATCAGTGTATTTACTTTGAAATCAAGAATCAAACCTTCGTTGTAGGGCGCTGGGTGTAAATTACGAGAGGGCTTTTTCATCCACTCTTCCTTACATAGTAACCATTCCTGCAGCAAACGTAAAGTTGAAATTAAACTTAACTGGGACACTAGACAGCGCGTCTTTTTCCGCCGGGTGCTAGCCTGGCAGAAGCCGGTGGTTCCAATCGCTCACGTGGCGGCGACCCATCTCAAAGCTCCGGGAGCACGGTAGGTTCTCAGATTAAATGCTTAAAGAAAAACAGAAGCGGTTCTGTATTTGAGTAACAACACCTAAATCGTCTTCATTAGGCCTCCAGTATTACGATTTTCAAGAATATTTTTAAATTTGGTGTACGGAGGACGCAGAAAATCAGTTTTAAAGTACCGCTGAAGCCGCTGATTCTCGGAGCATTGCGTCATCAAAGGAGTTTTCCGAATCTCCGCTCTCGCGCATTTTCAGTGGCTATCAAAGCAGTGCACGCACGCTCTTGCTATTTTAAAAAATATCAGAAAAAGACGTCACGATTGGTGCTAGTGCGGGGGAACATACCTGGCAAGCATGCACCTGCATGTGCATGCCCACACGAGCGACACGCGCTTGGCGGCCGAATGATTATTTCATGACGTAAGGACAGGTTTTCGTGTTTTCCCGCGTTTTGTTACATCTGGGGGGAAAACAAATATGATATTCAAAATCATGCATGAAAATACTCTAGAATTACTTCGAACTCATTCTTTTTGAGAACCTCTTCAGTTTCCCTTTGAAGAAAATGACATGCACCCGCTTCTGTTTTTTCTTTTGTATCTTTATTCTGCATTTTGCATTACACAACTTATTAAACGACACACGCAAAAAAAAAAAAGGTACAATAAGACCGTTATGATCATCGTTTATTTTTCGGTCCACTCGTTACCTGACGCCATACCCGCCCAAGCTCGGAGTGTACCGTGCTGCCCCCCTCCCTCCCTTCCTCTTTCCCTGCGCTCTGAAATGGGCCTGGCGCGATGCCCCCCGGCTGCCTGCCTATAAAGCACCCCGTGGGAAGAAAAATGCTCGTTTGAGAGTTTCAGTTAAGTTTGATTGCGACTGTACTTATTTCTGAGGTGCCCTCTTGGATATATGAAGTAAATAAAGAGGGCCACGCTGCGAATTAACTCCTAGTATTCAGCCACCTTCAGTTTTTATCGAATATACAATATCGAACCAGGTTAGAACTTTTTTTAAATACTGAATCAGTGTAAATAATTTATTACCACCGAGAGGGTACAATCCCACAAGCTGTACGAGACTACAAACAGTATACTGCTTGATTATATAAAATGTCTAAATACTATCAATGAGGATAGTGGACGTAATGTTTATAAAGTGAGTTGAGAAAGGCTACATAGGGTTTCTTGAAATTATAAATAAACCGCGCAGTCTAATAAACTTGTGTCTCCTTAATATTGACCTCGTTAATATGGATACCCGGCTATTTTGGACAGAGTTTCCGGGGACAAACCGGCAAAATACGTGCGTTTTTGTCTCGTTAGTACGGACAACTCACGTTATGAACGATTTTGAAGAGAACGGAGGTGTCCATATTAACGAGACATAGCAGTAATCAGAACGACCGGCACTATAAAGTAGCAAGATGGAGAATACTAACAGAGCTGACGAAATTGTAAAAGAATAAAGGGTGTACTGCTACGGATAGAGCTATCCATAATTTAATATAACACTTTCTTAGACATTTTTATTACCGGTACTTAAGGCGTTATCAGTAATATTTTATTTATAGAAAATACGAGATAAAATCCTTATTACGTGGTTCCTAAATATCACGGGAGGGATGTATAATTTTCTTATTCAACCTCTGAAAAACAAAAACCGTCATGATATTAAGTTACCCACCCATTCTTATATTTAGTGCCCATATCCGTTTGGTTGTTCCTGGAGATTTTGGGAAATCCAATAAGTGACCGGACATTTGAAGCGAACATCTCAAAGCTGAACCATTTTTTTAAAGAAGAAAACCATAAACCTTAGCTTGAAAAGTTTTTAGAACTTCGCACACCATTAAAACAACGTAAGTCACAGGATGAAATGTGCGCAAAGAAATCACCATATATTTTCAAGCAAAACTCAGTTGTGATATTTGTGAGACACATTTTGTAGGGCCGCACATGGCGTCTTTCATAATGCACAACAAGTTTTGCATTTTCTCATATCCGCCTGACCTTCAAATCATTTTTAGACATACGTTTCAGCTCTTATATCTAACATTTCTTCATGTCAAATAGGCTGAATGCGCTGCTCTCAGTGCGCAAGCATTTTTACAGAGAAGGTGTGCGGAATCATTTTAGGTTAGTTTCTACCCTCGCCCTACTAATTAATTTTCCCTTTTCGATCCTTACGTTTACTATCTTAGTCTTTTATGACACGGCGCCGTTCAATCATAAACGAAAGAAATGCCTTGATTTATATAAGAGAATATGACGGATAGAAATACACAGATGGCGTTTCTTTTTTAATACAGTTTCCTCGGCTCCAGCCACGAAGTGCAAAAAGTCTACGAATCCTGGATTTGTGAGTATGCCTGTTATCAGAAATAAATTGGTTTGCATCGAACTGCACATCCAAATATAAAAACACTTTTATAACAGTTGAAAAAGATCAAGGTTTCTCTTTTAAAATGCTATGAAGCAACAAGATAATAATTGTTAGGTGGTAAACGTGAAAACTAGTAAAAAAAGCTATTTCCGGTTTTATGTGGTCTCTTGAAAAAATATTGTAGGGCTCATGATATTTACTTCTACACCTGTCCCCTGGATTCTTATTCAGCCTCAGAAGAAACTGAAACTTGGCTACTGATATTGTATAGTCGTGATTATGAGTTTGCTTGAAGTGCTCTCAAATATAAGCAGTAGATGACAATTTCCATCGCTGCGTAAGCTCATTCCTGTATAATGCCGGGAACTTCATTGTAACTAAGGCATTAAAATGACAATTGCAGTGTTTGTAATATTTTGTCCTAATAGTAGTATCAATTTGGAAGAAAACATTTTAAAGCTCAAGGTTTTTTTTTGTTTCTTTTAGTTATGAAGTTTACTTTTGCAAATTCCTTTATGGCGTGGGTGAAAAGTGGTTATGACACAAATATTTCTTACATGGTTAATAAATTCTTAGTTAAAAAACCGGAGTATTTTCGTAGTTACTGTGTTCATTGTTGAATTTTAAATCAATTAAATTAATTGTTTTTTGGATGCAAAGTGTTTAGAATTTTTCAAGATATATTATTACAAGTCGTACCACATTGAAGAGGTGAAGCTAGATTATATCTAAATTTTGTTTATGATAATACACTTAAGAAAAAAAATATTGCTTTTATCTTATTATTCTTCCTTGAACTTTGGCAAGAAACTGCTTTACAAGAATATCTAACATGTACGGGTACTATATGATTTTCGTCGTATGAATAACAAATAAATTAGCCGTTGATGGACCCTGATTTTAATTCTTCGGACGCTATTTACAGTTAATTTTAAGATCTCTGTACGATGTTGTGAAAATGTAGTAAAATAATTGCAGTAAAGAAACGTTGACATTCATTGAAAACAGATAGAGCCAAGCTTAATAGCACGTTAATAAAATCATCTCAGGCAACATGAACGTTACTCTGAAGTGTCGCTTATGGCACTATACTACGTTATTACTACGAATTCACTGCATTTTTTATTTTTCTGTTTGTTACAGTTTAAGTGGAAGTTGGCAGCTAACACGTGTCAATACCTCTGCGAGGGGTGGCCAACCCGATTTGAAAATGAAGACAATGGCACTCCGTGTGTGGTAAGTATTGCACCCTCTCGTGTACGTTGCTGTGGAGCTTCTGAAATATCCATGCACACTTGCGCATCAACATACGGACAAACTCCTTACCGATAACAAAGTCAATTGACGACTATATGCACAAATTCATTCATAGTTTATGCCTTTTTAGAGCATTTCAGTTTATGGGTTACACAAATATAAAAAACTGCAATATTGCCTCCTAAATAACTAAAAAAACATGCATTAATAGAGCCCCGTTTCTGTGAACCCTACTTGAAATAGATTGAAGACATTTAGAAACCAAGCATCAAATAATAACACTCAGGATTGATCTTCGAATTAAACGTGTCTTACAAATTTACGCATTGCGGGGTACTGTGTTTCTTAGACGACACTTGCACTAAGCGTCACATATAACTCAGCGATACCCCGCCGTTATGACAATATGTTAAACGTTATCTGTAAAAGTGTTTGGCGGATCTGGGCAGACGCCACGGTACACATTCTCATATTTCAAGATACATATGATCTGCACACGCCCATTTCGGCGCATAGATTATACGGAGTAATCACACTGCCACTTGGATTGTGTATAGCTCTATAGCTACTTCAGAACCTAAATCTAGGCGAAAACATAGCACAAACGTACCGTATCTTTATATTCGTATAATGTTTGAGCAGGCTTCCGGTCGCATGAAAGAAGTGAAGTCTCCTTATGTTAATTTCTCATTAAAAGAGTGTTACTGATAAACTACTGGGAATTACTGTATCTCCACCGCTATGTTTTGTCGGTTCTGAAACGACATTGATTATAAACGGTTGAGTTTTAATACTACATTTTTCTGTAAAAATCCAGCATTTAACAGCTTTAGGATTCCACAACAATTTTGGAGGGGCGACATTCCCGCATTCAAGACAGCGCTGTTGCAATTGGTTATAAATGAAAAAAAAGGTTAAGCATAAAAAAAATTCGGACGACGCCAAACAGGCGTGCCCTTCCACGAGTTACATGGACAGTCGTATTTCCTTTTTTTTCATTTCTACACTTAACCTCTTGATTAACCAACAATCTCAATATGGGACGTGTAACTTGAAGAAATTATAGTATGATAAACAGACAAATAGCATGTTTTGATTTAACAAGGACCATGAAAACGTGTATTTGAGCTAACCTCATTATAAAACTATGCCTGCACAGTGGGTGTTTTTTCTATATAAAATACCATATAAAATTGTAAATCCGGGTATTTGATATAATACTGTTATATGTTTGCAGGTACTCCCTTAGAAACAATCACTGAACCTTTCGTGGAATTTATTGACAGGATGTGTAAACGGCACAAGTCATAAACAATAGGGCCTTTAACTGATATCTCTGTCACTCAGTGCGTTCGGTTCTGAGGCACTAAGTGTTGGAATTTACGAGTCCAGTGCCTCGAGTAACCACGATAACAAACACGCTGTTTGGCGAAGGCCCGTGCCAACTTTTTGCTTGCTTACACCGCCGCCCGTGGAAGACCAAGAACAATGCATTTGCACCTGAACCTGCTACTACAAAGAGCCAAACGCGATGAACAAAACACCTGCGCGCTTTCTTTTTGCAATAACAGTTTAAGTGAATGAACCGTCACATAGGGTCAATCGCGGGTTACACTAACAATATATATATATATATATATATATATATATATATATATATATATCTATATATATATATATATATATATATATGGGCATGGTGGTATAGGAGCCAAGGGGCTGGAGGCGTATATATAACGAAGTGAAAAAATCACGATGAGAAACAACAAACAGCGGAAGTTTAATCGACAGTTTGCCGAGAGACTCGGCTTCGTCAGGAGATGACTTACAAGTGAGGGCATATCGCCTCGGCAAAAATGATCAGAACTAAAAAAAAACACGAAAAAACACGTGACAACACAATTGAAAAAAAAGGTGTAGGGAACGTACGCGTTCTCACATAGCAAACATCTCGGCGAAACTGTCGGTTAAACTTCCACTGTTTGTTGTTTCTCATCGTAAGTTTTTCACTTCGTTATATATATATATATATATATATATATATATATATATATATATATATATATATATATATAAATGGAACTGCAACAGATATGATTCACGAACGGAAACGTAAACACCACATCGGCTAAGATGTTTTTATCAGATCAGAAGGTGCGTCCTTTAACCTTGCTCAAGGATAATTCATTATTTCATAAGTGTGGCTGTTCAGTTGGTCGCTTAACCTACCAATTAATCAATTAATTTTTTAAACCCGATTATTTTTAACCGGTTAGTAGGTTCATTTTTGACGAACCAAAAGAAGGTAAACATTAAATGCTTTCACCACGCGAACATGGACGAGTACACCTATATGAAGAGAAAATATCAAGTGAACTTTTTACCTAAGTAAACTGTAAGGGCGACATTTTAACTCCAGCCAAGTGCAGAAACTTACACGTGTCTGGGCCACAAAAATATTATGCATGGAAATGAACGAGACCGATGATCAACTTAATTGATCGAATAAAGGGTGGCGATTATTCGGGTTAAAGTTTTAATCAATGTCGAGCCCCGTATATATGCGATAAAATATCAAAATATTTTAAAAACATTTTTGTAAGCACTAGCATGCATATTTCATTGCACACCTGACTGTTCTAGTTTTATGGCTGGGTCTTAGTACTCACACAAGTTTCACGATGGTGCCGTTCTCGAACGCTACAATGGTCGCAATCTTGGCTACCGTGAACACCAATGTTTACATTATTCGCTAGTAAAAAAGTGACATTAATATAAACAAAACCTTCCGCGAATACCACGTGAAAACGCAGATAAGTCAAAAATAAAAAAAAATAAAGCAATTAAAAGAGAAGCCTAAAAGAATTAAATCTAAACATGCATTTCATATAAAATATAATATAACGTGGATGCGTTTCTAGTCATAAGATATAATGCCGAGAAACTGGAATATATATCCAATCTACGAGTTATATTAACAACACTGAAAAAGGGTGTCCAAAAACAAAGCGAGAGTAGCAGAAAACGGTCCCGCTGTCCGATTTCGGTCACCACGAGAGCAAGGGGGAGTGATTTGCATATCGCGAAGCGAGCGAAGATAGCGTTCCCAGACGGTTCGTCTACTAACGCAAGCGAAGAATGCCTCTTTTTTGCCACAGAGAATCATTCGCAGACACAATTTAAACAAGTGAACACCGTAGGTCGTCTTCTAATAGACCGAAAAAAAAAGTTGATCGTCTGCTACGAACAGAACACCGCGGTGAAGTGAGATCGGACGCAATTTTAAATTGTGACTGTCTGCAATTTTCCGTTGGAAGCCGCTGACAACTCGCACTTTATTAGCAAATCCAAAGTTGTTCCTGCCGTACACAAGCTAACATCAACCGGTGGATGAAGGAGTACTAAATAAAATAACATCAAAGGCAGTGAGACCTTTTTCGCTATTTCATTGTTGGTGAGAAGTTCTCACCAAAATATTTTTCGATTATGAACTTCCGAAGAAGTTAAAAATCTCTCATTTCTTAATTACCTGCACGCTGTGGCGCCACGTCGAATTAGCAGTCGAGAACTTTCTTAACATCAGTTTTACTGAAATCGGACCACTCGTTTCTACTGCACAAAATGTCGCCAGCCGATTATATCTTGAGGAGAACGCCTCTGTGCATCTGTACTTGTTTCGGACTTACAAGTATAGACGGTACAGTGCAAGATCTACAATCAATGCCGAACTGAAGTGGAGAGAGGGAAGCAGAAAGCTCGTGCAGTCTCTTCTTCGCGTAATGACGTCAAACTTCTACCGATTGATTCTTATAAAAGTTCGTAAATCTTTTGTGTATCTGTACCGGATTATATTCCTCAAAGCTTATTTAGGATGTTTACATCTGTATCCAATTTGAATAAGCATGATAACACACACGGTGAACCTCGAATAGAGAAGGATTGGTTTAAAAAGTATACTCTGCAATTTGGTCACACGGAAACGGCGTCAAAACGGAAGGGAATATTTGTTTATCGAGGTGTAATACTGGCAGCCTGAAAGAGGCACCAGGGAGAAGAAAATTTCAGAAAAAAATATAGTGAATGCAATTTTTACAATTCATAGCCACGCAAATTTGTTTGCATTTTCATATTAAATATTTGAGGGAGTGGGAGTCAGAATTTAAAAAAAAAACACATAAAGATCACGTTTTTCTTTCTTTCTTTTTTTTTACCTTACCAGAGAATAACTTGAGCTCATTGAAAACTTACGCTAGATTCCTGCTGTCCACCTGCAGGGCCTAAAAGGATCCTTTTTTTCAGCTGGCATGCTACTTGGAGTGTTTAAAACTTGGCGCCCGATTAAATTTAGAGTAATAACCATGTTTTGAACAACTCTGTTCCTAATCTCAGCAGCTATAGCTATAAATATAATGTAGAAAATTATTATTTTTGAGTGCTATAAATTGAACAGAAAGTGTACACCTGTTTGTTGTAAAATAACTTTACAAATAGAATTCAAGAGGGGCGTTTTTAGGCGCATAAAAAGGCGCACCTACCGATTCCTTCTGAAAGTAGAGAATTATGTAAAGTCCTACCCTAAATACTTGGCTTATTTTCTCACTATTTGACATGTGTTCATTTGAATGCACCGACATTTCTCTTCGCATATTCAGAAAATGATCTTCCCTGGAGAGTGTCTCAACGGAAAATGCCTAAGGCTTGTGCCTACTCTACCACCAACAACGACGGAGGTAGCAACCACAACGAAAACTCCAAGTACTACAGAAGCCGCAACTATTGCGCCCGCTCCCGAAGCAAAACTGGCAGACGATGGCCTCTGCCCATGTTCGCCCGATACAGAGAGCGATGCACCTCCCGGATCAGCGGGGCCAGCACCTTCAAGTGAGGGTGGAGAAGCGAGTCCCAAAGTTGCACCGGAAGCGCCTGAAAATGCCGCAGAGGCACCAGCAAAAACACCAGCCGAAGCGCCAGCGGCTCCAGCCGCAGCTGCACCAGGTGCCGCACCAGACACCGCACCAGCAGCACCAGCAGCACCAGCAGCACCAGCAGCACCAGCAGCACCCGCAGCACCAGCAGATGAACTAGCGGACGCTCCAGCAGAAGCCGAAACAGCCGCACAGGCATCGGCAGCAGCGCCAGCATCAGCAGAAGTACCATCTGAAACTCCAGCTAAAGCACCACCGGCAGTAGCAGCAGCAGCACCAGAAGAGGCACCAGTAGAACCAGCAGTACCAGAAGCAGCTCCAAAAGACTCGAAAGCAGAAGCACCAGCAGCGGAATCAGCAGCAGCACCCGCAGCAGCACCTGAAGAAGCCGCAGCACAACCCGCAGGAACGCCTGAACAAACCCCCGCGGCGGCACAAGAGGAACCCAAAAATGAGCCGGCAAAGTCACCAGCAGAAGAACCAAAAGAAGACGCAGTCCCAGAGCCAGCCGCAGCACAATCAGAGAAAGCAGCAGGGGCATCACCAGCGACACCAGCGGAGGCGTCTTCAGCTGATGCACCCGCAAAGGCGCCAGAAAATGCACCAACAGCAGCCGAATCAAAAACTCCAGAACCCGCTTCACCCGAGGCACCAGTGGACGCTCCAGTCGCAGCTCCAGCAGAGCCACCGGCAGACAAAACTGCTGAGAAACCAGCCGACACGTCTGGAGACGCACCTCCCGATTCGGCAGCTGTTGCGTCATCAGAGCCATCTGCGGAGCAAGCTTCAGCGGATAAACCAGTCGAGAAGCAAGCCAGCTCTGCAGCGGTTTCGCCAGGCAATCCAGCGGCTGATGCAACCGGCGAGGCACCAGCCGACGCAGCAGTAAAAATATCCGTAGATGCTGAAGCTAATGCTGCCACAAAGGAACCAGTGAAGCCAGCTGCCGAGGCATCTGGGGCTCCAGCGGAAGCCCAAGGTGAAGGAGAGGCGGAAGCTCCAGTTGAATCGGCTGCGGATGCGCCAAAAGACGCTGCAGCGGATGCACAAGCGGACGCGTCAGCTGATTCTGCAGTGAAAGTACCCGCAGAAGCACCAGTTGACGCGGCTGCAGAGTCGCCAGCTGAAGAAGCGGCTGAAACTCCTGCTGAAGCCGCGGCGGATGCTCCATCCGACGTAGCCGCGGACGCATTGTCTGATTCCACAGCTGAGACACCTGCGGAAGCTCCAGCCAATAAAGATACAGACACTTCAGCTGATCCCGCTCCTGAGGCCCCGATTGAAGCAGCCGCCAATGTTCCAGTCGACGCAACTGAAGACTCAAAAGCGGATACCCCCAAGGGAGCTTCAGACGGAGCAGCAGCTAAAGAAGCTGACGCGCCAGCTGAAGCAGCTGAGGTTGTGTCAGCCGACACAGCGGTCGACGCGCCTGCAGATGCAGCAGTTGACTCGCCTGCAAAGGCACCAGCAGAACAACCAGCTGGAGGAGAAGCTGTAGAACCAAGCGGCGATGAAAAAAACTCTGAAGCCGGTGCAGACGCATCCAGCGCAAAAACAACTCCTGAAGGAGCTAAAGATGAGGCCGACACAGACGTCGCAGGGGAGGAAGTATCAAAGCCAGCAGCGGTTGTAAAGGTTACTCCTGAATGAACTGGGATTAAAGTTCCAAAGTAGATAACACGCAATATTTGATCAAATTGCAATCATGAACCATTTATATTATAGCTTTCCCTTTTAATTCATAAATGAATTTTATTAATTACATTTTGAAGCGTGGTTACAACGAAATCGATTCGGTATGTGTAAGTCAACAGTGATTCTAATTCATTCCTCTAAATTAACAATTCCAATGCACACATAAAGAAGTTGTTGATGAAATCACTTAATATTTCAGGATTTGAGAAACATTATACAGAAATAAAACCCAGTTTTTATGTAGTAGCGTATGGCATTTATTTCACATATCAAAATTCCTTGAATGCATGTTTTAGTAATTAAAATAAATGTTTTATTTCTAACTACATCGGTGTTCTACGTACAGAACGAAAGTGCTCGTGAACACATGAATTAAGACACCTGACATAACTACCGCAAGAAGAAAGACTTACGTTTTTGAATGTGCAGTATTTCTCTGTGTAGGCAACGACGGCCCTAATAATGTGCCGGTAAAACAATTGAAGTGCATAGATGAGACTTTTTAATAACTTTTCCACGACAAAATAAAAAGCGTGCAATATTTACGCCATTAGACCCAACTTAGGGGGGGGGGGGGTTACGACCCGCTCTAAGCCTCGCCCAAATATTAGTGACCCCGCCCATTACTACTGAATTGTTCGCCTGGACGCTCGACCGAACACGCGTGCAAGCATAGTACCTCCCTTTCGCGACAACCGATGCCTCCCTTTCGCGACAAAACTCTAGCGTCCGACACCACCTGCTAGTCGTGTGCGGAACACGCACGACAGCCTCCAGCAACGTCGGCTATTCCACCACCGTCTATCGTCGTCTGCAATGCTCATTAGACACGAGCATGATAGCTGCGCTCCGGCGCCCGTTTACGCCTTCGTCTGTCTGCTATTCCGCTCCCATCTAAAATCTTCTGCAACGCTCGCAAGACGCGAGCATGAAAGAGCCGTTCTAGCGTTCCATCGTTCACGAGCCACGGTATAATACAAGCCTCTGTCAGCGACTGTCGATGTGCAGAAAAAAGCGACTGAGAGAGCTAAATACGATGAACAAAATAAGTATGCAGTCCTTCCTGCGTTTCTGTTCTTCATTTTTATTTTTCGCTACGTAACTATGAGTAAGGTGGGTGGCCGCGTCATGACGGACAATTAAAACACGACTTCAAAATATGCGCTTTGATGAGCAAGGGGCACTAAACTTGAGAGCTACTTGCCTTTCGATGCGAGTCGAACGCCCGATTGCCTATTGCTAAATGGTTCGCATCTTCTTACCTCTTTAGGTACCTGCTCGGTATTATGCCATGTTTGCAATCACGACCGTTGCGGAATTCATCGAGCTGTGGGGTCCCTTTTACGAGAACTAACACCTTTATTCAGCATCAACACCCGCAAACAAACACATCAAGCCAGATCAAGCAACATAGTTGACGTAAGACGTTAGACTTAGGCCAGTTCCGCGAGAAAACAAGCACCCGCACAGCTTTTCCGAAGGCGTGCACTTGCGACTGCCGTTCGCTGCAAACTATGTCATTTGAGGACATCTTCCTTTAAAGGGAAGCTGAAGAGCTTTTCGAAAAAAATGAGTTAATGGTTGATTCTGACGTGTTTGTGCCTGCTGAGTCCAAATATCACAACCATTTGACCCAAAATAATCCTTAAACGCGAAAAAAAGCGAAGAAATCAGAAGCGATCGCCGCAGCGGCACGCCATTGGCTAGCCACGCGTGACGCGCCGCTACGTCATAAAAGGACCATCTCGATTCTCGCTTGCTCCGTCGCTGGCGGAAGTAGCCGGGCGCCGGGTCTTCTGCTCTCGTAAATCGGGTTCGGCTTCTGATCTTTCGAAATCTTTCGGTGAATCCGAAAGAGGAATGTGTCCACACGACCCTCGACGTGACAAAGTACGCGTTCCAGCCGTTGGCAAGGTAGGAAAATGACCCCCCGCAGTAATAAACACAGACGAGGAACCGCTTGCGCGGACGCGAGATGGCTGGCTTTGTACCTTCAGGAACGTACTTACTGCTATTTATTGTAACCTAAAATGTTGACAATAAACGGAGTGCTATTGACAGGACACCTCAAGCCGGATTAGCGTGACCCTCCCCAAAACGGTCGTCAGAGGACAAGAATTCTGCACATATCGGCCTTCGTGCTTGCCAGCTGCGGGACGCGTGAGCGTGCAGGCTGCATTGTTCATCAAAGCTGAGGTGGTTTGAAGGGATAGTATAATCGGCTTCGGGCGACGGGAGAGCTTCCCCTGAGATGAGACGGGTGATAAGATAGGGTCGCCGTTCTGCCACCGCCATGTCCTTGCGCACTATGCGAATAACTGCGCAAAAGGAGCGGTACCCTCTGCTGCGTTTAGGTTGTTTGCCACAAACTATGGCGCCATTATAGCTTTAGAAAAAGCGGAGATGTGTGCCGGGCACCCCTTAATTTGACGTCGAATTCGTGAAAGCTTCCTGGGTCTCTACATTCGCATACTTCTACCAAGCTTTGTTTACTGCATCACACCGCCACCAGGCATCATCATCGTCCGATCGCATTTCTACGGCAAAAAGAATTGTTGCATTACACAAACTTTATACGAAAAACACTGCGTAACTTGTAAAAAAAAGAACTCGATTCAGAACAGAAGGTCATATGCGTTGTATTTCCACAAAGCTCTCCTGAAGAGAATATGAACTTTTGAAAGGAAAATTTAACCAAATTTATGTTTACGTTTAAAATATATGTGGCCTCAAATAATGTCAGCAACTGTAAAAAAAAAGTTTATGTTAAAACAAGTTGCACCGTGAAAGTCGCATTATGAATTGCATGACTACTTATTAGAGCAAGCCCTCCTCTCCCAAGTGACTGGGTGGCCGAGTAGATTAAAAGCAGAAGAAAATCTTGGGCTACCCAAGATTGTTTTCTTTTTTTTCCAGAAAATATGGTCACTTCAACAATATAAGAAACCAACACTAACACACTAATAATGCGGTTAACACAAGAGAGCCAGTAGAAACCCGCTGTTCGGCTAAATGATCGCGGCTTTTCTAGCACACTGCACACTTCTAATAACGTAACAGCTTTTTTCTAGAACAGTCGACCTACAATTCCTACCCAGTTACGTTTCCTCTTTGCTTGTGACTTTTAATGCGCTGAATTGCCTTCTTACCTTCAAAGATGGTCGGCAGAGCGTCGGGTTCAAGCGAGCCTTCTTCAGATCCCAACCCATATGTACATACATAGTTTTCATATGCGCCGTCCGAAACCCATTTCGAACAAAAAACGGTGTACTTGCTCAAACCCACCTACCCCTTTAAAATCTCGGTGACGAAGTGGAAAAGGTGGTAAGCGGGAAGAACAACTACGACGAGCGCTGTTCATGAAAGCTGGCGGCTACACACGAGTACGGCATCGTGCAACAGCACGAGTCATTTGGTTTGGTGCCACGAGAATTCTGCGAACACGTGAACAAACAAGAGAACAATTAGTACGTAAGGCGATTGAGTCAATAGCATGACCGGTCAACGGATAAAAGCAAGCGCTATGCAGCGGCAGAACAACGACGGCTCAAAAAGACACTAGAGCAGCCTACGAGGAAAGCGCGGCCAGCCGCGGCGGGGTCCCCCACCCGGTCCTTTTGTGACGGCGGCTGACGGGCTTCCTCCTCTCTCCCCTTTCCCTCTGCTTTGGAGAGGCGTCGCTTCGGCGCTACTTTGAAGGCGCTGTTTCGGTTAATCCGCGCAGAAAATGACCAAACGAATACGATATTCGTGATGGCTAAGGTCTCGTTAACTAGGCTCAAGTGTTTTTTCTCGTATTTAAAACCGCTTCAGCTTCCCTTTAAACACCTCAGTGAAAGCAGAACGAATGGCACTCATAAAAATAAACGAGTTCCACAAGCTACGCTTGTTGAGCACGCTGCAAACGCCAGCAGTGATATTTGTTAACGTTTAAACCTCTGTTTCCCTCTGTTTAGAACAGAAGCGGATCAGGTATTCTCAGGATATTTTTGAAAGCAATAATGACTCTATCGACACTACAGCATTTGAACTAACGCTTCTAAGGCCCTTTAGACGGCCCGCAAAAATCAGTTTCTTAACGTATCGCGCTGTGATTTACTGCAAAAGTGCAAGAAGATGTTGGAAGTTTGCATTAAAAAAATCAAGGAATGCACTTACCTGGTTCAGAAGAAAGAAAACAAACCTGTTTTGCGTGCGGTATCGTCTGCTATCACAACCCGAATCTGCCGGTGCCCTCTCAACGCGGTGTACGCCATCTGTCGGCAGCACTTGTCCCAACGCGTGCATCGTCTGCAAAATGGCGGCGTAGATTGCCCAAAACAAATCAGTTTTCTTTTTTTTTTTTTTTTTTAACAAGGTAAGTTTATTTCTTGATTTTTTCCCTGGAAACTTCTACCACTTCTTTGCACCTCTGTAGCAAATGGCAGCGAGATGCGTTAAAAAATCAATTTTTTGGGCCCTCCAAAGTGTTTTAAAAGCATTAGTTTATATGCTGTAGATTATTTATTTCTCAAACATAAATATATTGCTGAAAAAAAATACTATAATACTATTACGGCACGGAGTTACAATTTTGCAACGAACATTTCACACGTCATTAATTTGTCCAACCCATAGAGTTAATATAATGTACTCTAGAGGTTCAACCGGTGCTAGTGCCTATGCGACTTCCGGGATGCAAATTGAAGCAGGCAGTCTACTTTTCCGGTATTCCTGTGCATTCCTATGGGAAAACGCCCGTGCATTTTGTCTCTTTGTCAGAAAATAACATGGATCAAATTTGTTATTTCAGTCGCATCGAATTTTATGTATACAATTATTATCATTGTAAGAGTATAATTACTTTAGTTAATATATTTTTTTTGCCAAGTGAACGATGTTAAACTTCGCTATAGTTGAAGCCCAAACATCCGTTCATAGCAGGCGTGTAAATACGAGTGATGTTTCTAAGCAAAATAGCAATCGAAATGAACGTTGACTGTGCTCAAAGTTCGCCAGCATTTCGGTGGCGCTGATGTGTTGTTAATATGCCGTCCTGTCACTGTATAATAATTACCCCGTTGTGCATTTATACGA